TGAAAGCTATTTAATTTATACATTTTCCCTCAGCAGTTGACTACTAGAGACAACATCATATTTAGATTACACAGCTTTTTCTCAACAAATATGTTTGCATATTTCTTTCCCTTTTGCCTAAAAGTATGCCTTTAGTTTAAATTTTTTGTGCCAAAGGGCACACTTGGTGGTTCGTAGGGCTTACTCCTGACTCTGCACTCAAATATCACTCCTGTTAGGGCACAAGCCCCATATATGATATCCAGTATCAAATCTGGGAAGGCCACATTCAAGGCAAGCAATTCGGCTGTACTATCTCTCCAGACCACACATATATACATACATACATATTATATACATACATACAGATATATTATTGATGTATCAAGGTTTTATAATGTTACGTACATCATGTTAAAAAAAACTATAATTTGAGATTTGCATCCATTGCATCATGATAACTGTCAAGTCTAGTGTTCATCCTTCATTACACAATCGAATTATTTAACCCATTTAAATAACCACCAAAAAACCTCCCTCTAGTAACCACAAATTCTGTTCTATCTACAAGTCTGGTTTTCATTTGTTTTGTTTGTTCATTTGCTTTTTAAAAATCTTCCACTTATGAATAAAATCATGCAAAATATTTTCAAAAATCTGCTTTATTTCACTTATAATCATGCCCTTAAGTTCTATCACTATCCCTAAAATGGCAATATCTTATCGTTTTTATAACTGAGTAGTATTGCATTGCATGTGTATATCATATGTTCTTTATCTGTCCATCTACCTATGGAGATTTAGGTTGTTTCCATATCTTGGTTATTGACTTGAATGACTTTGCTCATTCAAGCTCATCCAAGAGAGCTCAAATCTGATAGGAAATTGATAACATAATTTAAACAATCATCAATGTTCAATATTTTTGATACCTTGGTCTTACGCTGAAAAAACAAGAGAAAGTGTTGGGGGGAAATATTCCATAGTTTACTTACTTTCTTTAACCTCCTAATAAATATCCAATAAAATAAAATATGCCTATATGTTTATAATTAGATTATGTCCTCAGTATTTGGAAGACTATACTCTTTGTCTTGCTTATTAGATTGTCAAGTTCTTTATTGTGTAGACAAGATTTAAATTTAATTATGTATGATGTTTATTAAAGCTTGGCATTTAATAAATAAGGATAAATGTGAGGTGGCTACAGAGATGGAAAATCTTTCCTGTGGAAATGGTTTCCTAGGCAGAATATATCTTAATTTATCAACTAAATTTCCTAAATGCCCTAGATCAATCCTGTAAATGTGTGTGCCTAATACTATTAAACCGATATATTTTAATGACTTTGAAAACTTTTATGTATTTTAATGCAGTAAGCATTACATCTGAAATTTTATATATTAATACTACTTCTAAGACTTTGTACAATAGTATTATAATCCAGTTGCTCAGTTCATTTGTCATGCTGTTCAGGCAGAGAAAAACTTAAAAATGCTAACAGAAAAGTCATTCTCAGTCTCAGTGTGCCTGCAAATTGTGAAGAGATTCACTGAGAAGGAAGAATTTCTTCTTCTACTACCACTCCTAGCTCCCATTTTCAAGATCATAATTGTGGGAGTAGAGTCCAAATATCTTATTTTAGGGATGGAGAGATAGTTGAGGCATTAAGACGTTTGCCTTACATAGTAAGGCCACTCTGGTTCTGGTTCAATTCTTCACACCACATATGGTCCCTTGAATGCCACCAGAAATGACTCCTGAGCACAGATCCAGAAGTATGCCTTGAGCACCACCAAGTGTGACCCAAGAAAATAAAAATAAATAAATATATAAAAATTAAAAACAAGTACCCAAAATGCACAAATAAATATCAGAAGAGAGCAACGTGCTGTACAGGTGCTTCCTCACCCTGTGCCAAGATGACTCAATCTGGGGTACCTTAGAGTGGGGAGGGCAGGTGAACCTACCTCCTGCTCCAACAGAGAGCCAGCAGCTGAAAATGTCCAGAGCCCAATCACTGCCATGCTTATTGCCATGCTCATCTTCACAGGCTCAGGACAAGCCCTCATGCGTGAGAATAAATTCTCTGATAAACCCAGGTATGCGGGTTTTGTGACTGAACTTTTCAAGTTCACAAAGAGTCGAGAATGTGCACTCTTCTCCCATCTCCATGTGCTTCCGAGTGTCTGGCAGTCATGCCCATGAACTGCCTCTGAGAGCCGTATAATTTCATTAATGGTCATGATCCAGAGACTCACAAACAAATCTTGGAAGACAGCAATACCCTGCAGAGATGCCTCCAGACCCCCAAATCACCATCTAGTTGAACAAAAATTAATTCCAGCTCTATCATCATATTTAAAATTTTAGAATTCCTGGAGTGTTTGCCTGCAAAATACTTTATGCCACTGATGTGCCAAGAGTAGCACACCACATGTGATGGGGTACAAAGAAGAAGGCAAAATATCTTGACCAACCCCCACGCCACTGGCCGAACAAGTGAAAACAGAGATAGACAAATGGGACTATCTTAAACTTGAGAAGCTTCTGCACCTCAAAAGAAACAATGACCAAAATACAAAGACAGTCTGCAGAATGGGAAAGTATGTTCGCCGAATACACATCTGACAAGGGGATGATATCAAGGATATACAAAGTACTGGTTGAACTCCACAAGAAGAAAACATCCAACCCCATCAAAAAATGGGGTGACGAAATGAACAGAAACTTTCTCAAAGAAGAAATCTGAATGGCTAAAAGGCACATGAGAAAATGCTCTACATCATTAATCATCCGGGAGATTCAGATCAAAACAACAATGAGATATCATCTCACACCACAGAGACTGGCCCACATTCAAAAGAACAAAAGCAACCGATGCTGGCACGGATGTGACGAGAAAGGGAACCTCCTTCACTGCTGGTGGGAATGCCAACTGGTTCAGCCCTTTTGGAAAACAGTATGGACGATTCTCAAAAAGTTAGAAATTGAGCTACCATTTGACCCAACAATACCACTCCTGGGAATAAACCCCAGAGAGGCAAAAAAGTATAGTCGAAGTGACATCTGCACGTGTTTGTTCATTGCAGCACTGTTTACAATAGCCAGAATCTGGAAAAAAACCTGAGTGCCCGAGAACGGACGACTGGTTAAAGAAACTTTGGTACATCTACACAATGGAGTACTATGTTGCTGTTAGAAAAGATGAAGTCATGAAATTTACATACAAGTGGTACTACATGGAAAGCATCATGCTAAGCAAAATGAGTCAGAAAGAGAGGGATAGACATAGAAAGATTGCATTCATCTGGGGAACATAAAGTAACAAAATGGGAGACTAACGCCCAGGAGTGGCTGAGATTAGTACCAGGAGGTTTACTCTATGGTTTGGAGGCCAGTCACACATGCTAGGGGAAAGGGCAGTTCAGATAGAGAAGTGAGTACCAAATAAAGGATGTTGGGAGGGTCCTCCCAAGATGGGAGATGCATGCTGAAAGTAGACTATAGACCGAACATGATTGCCACTCAATGCCTCTTTTGCAAACCACAGCACCCAAAAGGAGAGAGAGAACAAAAGGGGATGCCCTGTCACAGAGGCAGGGTGAGATGGGGGGGGGGGGCAGGGAGGGATACTGGGACCTGTGGTGGTGGAAAATGGGCACTGATGGAGGGATGGGTACTTAATCATTGTATAACTGAAACCCAAGCACAAAAATTTGTAAGTCTACAACTGTACCTCTTGGTTTGTCACTAATAAAAATTTTTTAAAAATCTTGACCGAATATATATATATATATATATATATATATATATACAAGGCTCAACCTTTAATAACATGTTAGAGATCTCATACAGGGGCTTTATGGCTCCAAGGTGAGATACAACAATTTTCACACACTTTCCTCTAAGGAAAAAATTTTGGATCATTTTTAGCAGATTATTTATAACTAGCAATATAAAATAAATTATTTAACATCTGCCTTTGGGGCATGCTTGGGTGGTGGTGGTAAAATTCAAAGTAATGGTGGCAGGAAGGTGTAATGTTTATGGGATTTGTGTTGAAAGATTGATTGTGAACAACTTTATAAAAATAAAATTTTTTAAAAATTAAAAAATGAATATCCAAAATATTAATTTAATTCCACAGTTTAGCTTGAAAATTGGTATTCCTGCTGACTAAAGAACAGCAGATAGTCAATGTCTCTAAAACTGAGTAGTAATAAAAGTGATTATTAAGTTCTAGGAAAGATATGTGATAGATTTCCTTTCAGATCCATCAGGATTCACCATTTCAAGTTACAGATTATGGAAAGCAGGGTCTTTGGATCACTGTGACTTAATTAGCAACATAATCATCTAATTCATGTGCATCAGTGAATGAATTCTCGTAAGTATACCATTATTCTCCCACTAGTTAGTGATAAAGTTATGACAGTGACTTAATCTTTTTTTTTATCCTTATATTCCTTGTACCTTGCAAAGTGCATGTCATCGAGGCATCGAGTTAAGATATCATGAATGTATTTATTTATTCCACAAACTTCTACTAAGCTCTTACCATGAATCAGGCTTGATCTTAGGTAATATAAACCTGGTAGAAATGGCAGAATTGGTTGACCAAACAAAACACTCATTTTCAGGGCTACTATCCATAGTGAAATGCAATCATCATGCTGCTTTTTATGTCTCACAGAGGATTTGGAAGTTAAGAAAATGATATTTATGAAATGACTCAGACTTCTTGAGGGGAAAATAAAAAAAGGCAATACATAAAAGACATTCTACAATCCTGAGAGTGAGGATCAAATGTTATTTGACTGTATTTGTTCTTTTAGTCTTTTCTTTTTGATAAGCATGCCCAAGACTGGAGCAATGTGGCATCTCTGTGATGCCTGTAAGTGAGCGGCTTTATATGAAGTCAGCGAAGCATTATGCTGACAGTTCACTGATCATTAGCTCTTTGAAATTTCAATTTTGTGCCAGTGGAGTTCCCTCTCAGGGAGTGCCACAAACCCTACCTGATCTCTTGTTCTTCACTGGTCAGACCCAATCCGAAAGTGTGATGTATGTCATAACAAGAATTGCTGTCCTCCAGCGACCTAGGATATGATCAGGACAAGAACCACACATGAGTGCATATTTCTCAACAAATCAGTGTTCGTCCCTGTACCCTAATGGAGTGGTGAGAAAAAAAAAGTAGACTTACCCAACTTTCTGAAACCTTTTTTCCAAGTTGTCCCAAGCATACCTGATTTTCTGCACTTGTATGCATCGCAGCTGCAATGACAAATGTTACAGGTGTCATTCACAAAGAAAAGCTCTTCAGCGTCAGTAAGTCATTTAATTAAAGTTCCCAGATAGCACTCACTCTCCCTAATATCATGCTATAACTGGGAGCCTGGCAGTATAATAATAAAAATCCTCAGCTATAACACAGTCTTCTTTTTGTTTTTTTTTTTTTTTTAGCAACAAAAGATATCATAATCTAGCACTCTTATCACTTACTTTTAGTTCTGGCTTCAGTACAGCTCGATTTATGACAGAGTGGCTGTCTGCCACCAGGAAATCTTCCGGGTTCTTGCTTATAGGGAACTTCAATGTGGATAAGTAGAGGGAGATCACCTTCTTCCTAATATATCTTTGAAATTCATCCTAAAAAAGACAGTGCTGTTCATAAAATTCTAAGAATGTATTAAATAAGGTACTCCATCAACCAAAGCTCTGCCAAGTGCTATGTCAGTAATTCTCAAGATGTGGACCAAAGACCAGAGAATTGGACTTATCTTGAAACTTGTTTGAAGCGCAAAATCTCACTCTACTCAAAATCTACTGAACCAGAAATTTTGGTTATTTAACCAGTACTCTGTGCTTTAAAAAAAAATACAGGGAATTCTAATTTGCACTCAGAATTGAGACCCACTATGCCAGATAATTATGAGGAAAACATACTTTTTCAGGATTATTTTATAGTTAGAAGAGAGTGTCAGACTACCTAGATATTTAAAACATCTCATTTATTCTGGTGATGGGTATAGTAATGGAATGATGTATGCATGAAAAGTATAATTCCCAACATTATGTACTTAGTACTTCATTTAAAGGACTAAAAATATTTTTTTTAAATAGCAATATGCTAACTTTCTCTGAAATATGTATTTTTTAAAAATTGGCCAATCATGGGACTGGAGCTATAGCACAGTGGGTAGAGCATTTGCCTTGCACATGGCCAACCTGAGTTCGATTCCCAGCGTCCCATATAGTCTTCTGAGCACCACCAGGGGTAATTCCTGAGTGCAGAGCCAGGAGTAACCCCTGTGTATCACCGGATGTGACCCAAAAAGCAAAAAAAAAAATTGGCCAACCATTCCCATATTACTCTTTTAAGATTTTTAACATGAACATCCATCATTCATTCATCATCATTATGTTTAGAAGCACTGATAAATTAACCTGGTGTGGTAGAAGTTTCCCCAGGCTGACAGCGAGGAAACATCCTTCATCCCCAAATCAAAATAATATGTAGGGTTGTTCTGCAATCTTCTATTTTAGAATAAGGAAACTCCTTATAAAATCTACCCTCTGTAATACCAATCAGTCATTATCTGTGGAGCAGAGAAGGGCACGCACCGTTGTTCTCAGTAGAACAGTGTCTGCTTCTTGCAAGGAGCATGGGATGCAGTGAGCCCACACCCGCCACTGGGGTTTCCAGTAGAACACCAGCATAAGGAGCCCACATGTCAGCACAGAAGCTACCAGGCAGAAGGCTCTGCGGAGATTCTGAGTCTGGTAGCCAAACACCTCCTAGAGAGTAAATAAAAGAGGACATACTTTTACTATTTCACATTAACATATCATTTTGTTCCAAGAAACACAAACTTCAGAAGCAGGCATTGAGTTTGGAGAGAAAACTGGTTTTGGCTGATTGAACCAGACTGATTGCTCACAGCAATAAAACAAAGACTCATTGTACAATTTTGGTACATAGTATTAAGGAGAGGAGAAGACTCGCCTGTAATCTTTTTCATTTTTCCCCAGTCCCAGAACTTCAACCCAGGATACAAGGGAAGTACTCTACCACTGAAACACATTGCTGAGCCATTGCTTTATAGACTTTTGGGGTTCGCCTCAGATTTTTATAAAATATCTTATGTATTAGGCTAGATGCCAAAAGTAAATAAAGGACCAAATGTGATAGCCTCTCAGTATCTCTATTGAAAACCATAATTCCCCAAAGTAGAGAGAGAGTATGGGGGAAATTGTCTGCCATAGAGGCAGGAGGAAGGTTGGGATGGCAAGGAATACTGGGGATATTGGTGATGGAAAATGTGCATTGGTGGAGGGATGGGTATTCGATCATTGTATGACTGAAACTCAAACATGAAAGCTTTGTAACTATACCTCAGGGTGATTCAATTAAAAAAAACAAAACTCTTAAATAAATTTACTGGTGCCGCAGTGATAGTACAGCAGGTAGGGCTTTTACCTTGCACATGGCCAACCTGGGCTCGATTCCCAGTATCCCGTATGATCCCCCAAGCACCACCAGGAGTAATTCCTGAATGCAGAACCAGGAGTAACCCCTGAGCATCGCTGGGTGTGACCCAAAAAGCAAAAATAAATAAAAAAATTGAAGAAATCATGAAATTCTGATTGATGATTCATACTTACATACTGGGATTTATTGAAATTCAGTTTTATTTTATAATAATATGATTGAGAACAATTTAAAGTATAAGCAAACTCGTGCTTCTGAAATAGCACTGTAGCTCTGTCCTCCCGTTGTTCATCGATTTGTTCGAGCAAGTCCAGTAACATCTCCATCATGAGACTTGTTGTAATTGTGTTTGGCATATTGAATACGTCACGGGTAGCTTGCTAGGCTTTGCCCTGCAGGAACTTACCGGGCTCTCCGAGAGGGGCAGAGGAATCAAACACTGCGCAGCCGGACCAGCTGGGCCAGCTGCATACAAAGCAAACACCCTACCTCTGTGCTATCATTTATAAAATAGTAGGGTATATAAATTAAGAAATTATACCTGTGAACATGAAAGATTTTTGAAAGATAGCTTACAAGCATCTAACCTGAGAATAACAGCTAAAGTAGTTCACTTTTAGAATAAGGTAGTTAATATTTGTAATTGTAGGATCAGTCGCTTGAAAAGTGTTCTTTTCCAAAATGTTCAGAGGAGGTTTGGCACCTTGGTATGTTTAATCAGAGTCCTGTGTGTTCCCATGAGTGAATGATAGTCCTAATGAATGCAGATTACCTAGATTACAGTCCTCTTCAGAAAGAGCTATTTTATTGAATAAGCCTGTCTTCAGTCAGGGCAAGTATCAAAAGACAAGATTTTGTCATTAAAATCATTCTCTTTTCTCCATGTAAGACCCCTTCTTCTCTCTCCAGGAATCCTCAAATTCTATTCCACTCCTTCACATAAGAGATAAATCGTTGTTTCTGGAGTGATAGCACAGCAGGTAGGGCATTTGCCTTGCATATGGCCAACCCAGGTTCAATTCCCAGCATCCCATATGGTCCGCCAGGAGTAATTCTTGAGTGCATGAGCCAGGAGTAACCCCTGTGCATCGCCAGATGTGACCGCCCCACCAAAAAAAAAAGAGAGATAAATCTTTGGTCTGTCCTATTTACTTTAGAAATGACCATTACACAAATTCTCCATAGGCAAGTGATTCAGTTGGGACTTCCCCACCCCCACCCCCCGCAACCTATCTGATGCTGGTTTTGTTGTTTGTTTGCTTGTTTGTTTTTCATCTGTCCCACTAGAGAAGGACCCAGATTTATCCCTTCCCAGTCTGAGATGCCACCATGAACTGAGTAAAGCTGGAGCTATGGTTTCAGGAGAGGAAAAAATATAGTTAAACAACCAGATTTGTTTACTTCAAGCCAACGTCTAGAGCCCATTTTCTATAATGAAATTTCACAGCATTGCATTCTAAATTTCACAAACTGAATTTTTACTGTATTTGGAAGACTCAGAGGAATAATGATTATTAATGCCACTGTTACTCTTGCTTCAAATTCAGCTGTTATTTTGTGTTATTGTTTTCCCCATGGCGCTGAACTCCTGTGTCTAAATCGCGGTGCTGCACTAGCAATAAATTAAGTTTTTGCTGGGTTTCTACAGCACTTTTAACCCTGGAATCTCCTAGATTTTATACTACCAAAGATCATGATATAACAAATCTGCTGACTTAATTTCTTCAAAAATGGTTTTATCTTCATCTGGTTCTTTTCATAAAAACTTTTGAATATAGAACTTTGTGGCAGATAAAGACTTTAATAACAGCTATTGAAAGTCATCCTGAAGCAGAATGAAAAGGTCATACACAGGTCTACGTTTGGTTCTACCACTACTAGTTATCAGTTATATGGTCTTAGGTAAATCCAGTTCTCCTTTAGGGAAAAATTGAGTTTACATCTCAAAAAAAAATTGTAATGCATATCTCCACAAAGATCCCAAGCTTATTTAGTTTACCATCCCCTTTTCAAAAAAAATAAAAATTACTGGGGGTATGGTGCCGTCAGCAGGTCAATCTGCACCTGTGAGGCAAGTGCATCAGCAGCCTGATGGCACGTTCAGGCCTTCAGATACCCAAAATTGCTGCTGTGCCTTTGGCCAGACCCCAAAAACTTGGGACAAAGTTTACCAAGAAAGTAAATGGCCAAAAGTTAGGTATGTGGGAAACACACCCACAAACCACCTCCAGCTCAGCTATATAATAGGAGGCATGGCCTCTCTGGTTCCTGATCGAACTGCTTAACAGCCATGATCCCAGAGGCTCAAAAACAAATCTCGGAACCCAAAAGCTTTTGGCAGAAATGCGTCCTGTTCCTGCAGTAAATTACTGGCGCTGGGCCACTCCAGGTGGGAATAGGTTTCGTGCCTTGACCTGTTCCTTGTGGCAGCCTGGTGACCGTCATCCTCCAGAGGCCACAGGACAGTCAGGTTTGGGCCTGCAGTGATGAGACACGCGGGGTCTCACCAGATGGGAGTGGAACCGGCCCTTTCCTCCCCATTCCAGCGAGACCTCGAGTCACCACCTACAAACAGCCTCTCTGGCTCCTGATCAAGCTGATTAAAGGCCATGACCCCAGAGACTCAGAAACAAATCTCAAAACCCAGTGGCTTTTGGCAGAAATGTATCTGGACCGCATACACGGCCATGGCTCCAGAGGCAAAAGGACTTAATCCAGAGCCTGGAAGCTTGTGGCAGAAAAGTGAATGAACCATGCATTAACCTACAGCACCATGCCTTACCGGGAGGGAAAGGGTGTCGCTCCCTTTCGCCATTCTCCCCCTGGCAGCAAGGTGGCCACCTCCTCAGAGCTTATAGGAAAGCCAGGTATGAGCCGGCGGTGATGAGGCAACTGTAGTCTCATGGGAAGGGGGGTGGTACCAGCTCATCCTTCACTCCCTACTGAGGTCCTGAGTTACCACCCACGAGCAGCTCTCTGGCACAGCCATAACACCAGACGCACAGAAACCAATCTCGTAATTATCTGGCTCTTTGCAGAAATCCAAAATTGCGTGACCACAATAGCGGCCGTGCAACATTATATGACTCTCATAACCAGCTATAGAAAACAAACTATTTCACAATGCCTCTTCAGCAATTCTGATTGTTGGGGGGGGGGGGGGAATTCTAAACAATAATGGTGCATCTTTTGTTGAAATGATGAATGTAATCAATGTAGAGAAGAGTTAAGTAGAAAACATCTGCCTCACAGGCATTGGGTGGGATGGAAGGGGGAGTATATTGGGGTTCTTGGTGGTGAAATGTGAGTACTGGTGAAGGGAGGGGTGTTTGATCACTGTATGACCGAGACTTAAACCTGAAAGCTTAGTAATTTTTCCCACAGTGATTCAATAAATAAATATAAGATGAAAAATAAATAAATAAATAAAGCTATGAAAAAAAGTAAGGTAGAGTTCATGCCCAATTCAATCAGCTAACCAGTGGCTGAATAAATAGCAGTACTCCTACATAAAAAATATAATAAAATAAATAATAATAAAAAATAATTTAAAAATTACTGTATCTCTCTAGAAATCTATTTTGCTATAAGCAGATAGAGAGAAAGCACCCACTCCCTAATTTTACAGTATTACTACCCCCAGGATTACTCCAGAGTAGCATGGGGGTGGAGGTGGGGAGGAAATCACCCACGATGGGAAAGACTGCTGGAATACTTGTGATCCAGTGGGATAATCTGTAAGCACATTTCAAGGCAATCACAAATCTGAAACCCTTACACTACTTCTCAGGTTAACTGCGTGGGGGAAAAGGTGTTCATCGAGCTCAGTAATGCAGAAACTCTGCTGTGATATTCTTCATATAAGGCTAAGTGCAACTTAGAAATGTGTTTTCTGCTGTTAAGTATATTTGGGGCTTGGTTTCCTTTCTCATCTCTTTCACAAGCTCATTTTTATTTTTTTCTGTGGATTATAGTTTTATTGGACATCAGGAGCTACTCCCAGCTCAGTGTGCTGTGGATCTTGTGTTGGTAGGGATCTACCCCGGGCCTTCTGCCTATAAAAGTACACACTCATCCCATTGATCTTTCTAGCCCCAACGTGGATGAGTCTTCAGGGCATTATACTAATCGGAATTAGAGAATGAAAAAGACAGCATTATTATAATTATATGTGAAATCACTGTTACTGTCACTGTCCTCCCATTGTTCATCGATTTGCTCGAGCGGACCCAGTAATGTCTCCATTGCGAGACTTTGTTGTTACTGTGTTCAGCATATCGAATACGCCACGAGTTGCTTGCCAGGC